GTTTACAGTGCAAAAATACTTATGTGATCTAACAGCCCGCACCTACGAACACAAGAGAGACTTGCGTTTGGACAAACGATCTAACTCTCTCGTTTTGCATCGAAACGATGCTGGACATAACTTGGATTTCACTCATGCCAGCCCAATTAAAAAAAAAAAAAAGAACATAATTCTTTAAAGCAAAAATACATTGAAAACTTAATAATAACATCATTACCAAATATAAACACATGCCTAAAACATAACATTACATTGCCATCTTTGAATCCATTCTTAAAGAATCTGGCATATTTATCGAATACAGAAAATACATGCTAGAAGAAGTCAGCCATAAATTAGAATCATGTGATACCCTGATGCCATGGCTGACCACACAAAGGTGAAGACATCAGAACTCCCACTAGAGAGACTCACATGCATATTTACGAATACGCATTACCATCCGATGTCCACTTGGGCTTACATTCACATAGAATTATCTATGGTTTTAAGCACGTTTTAACACGTGTTTGACCAATAAGAACTGACCCAAACAAAATTGAAAATAACAGTCTTTGTGTCTGTTTTCTCTCAATCTCTGATGAAACTTTAATAAAAGTGAAAGATGTTAGATTGATATATGCTTCCTATTTGTTCTTTATTCTACAATATGTATGTATGTATAAATATATATATGTATGTATGTATGTATGTATGTATGCATGTATGTATATATGTATGTATGTGTGTGTGTATGTATGTATGTATGTATGTATGTATAGGTACATCCGAAAAATAGACGCCTTGAAATTGCATTTAAAATGAAAATCTTTCTTGAAGCTTTTATTTTAGTTTTAATTCCACGCTAAAATGTTAAAGTTAATATTTCCAATGAGTAAAATATTTTGAATTGAATTTAAATTGATAGGAATGATTATTTCAGTTAAATTATTCAGAGTTAAATCGTCTATATTAAGAAAGAATTTCTTGTATTAAAAATATTTTTCAAATACAATACACTTTACTTCAACGTTATTTGAGAAAAAATAGCTTTTTCAAAGTTTAATTAATCTGAATTGAAACAAATATTTCTTACTTTTAGGTTAAAATATCGTAGAAAAGTATTTTTTTAACAGGGTGTGGATGTTTTTATAAGGTGTTGTTACATTTATCGACAACCTGAAGTTTGGATAACAACCTAAGGAGGCCATAATTGTTATAAAATTACATGACGAATACAACGTAAACAGCTCCCCATCTCTCTCTCTTTATATATATATATATATATATATATATATATATATATAGGGGGGGGGGATGTATGTGTGTGTGTGTGTGTGTGTATGTGTGCGTGCGTGCGTGTGTGTGTTTTAACTAGCATATGATCTATAAAATTTGAAATATTTTAAACATTCTAATATTTTGCTGAATTTTAGGTATTTTGGTTTTATCGTCTTACTTACGAAGACACTTGTTGAGGAAATGTTAGGAAAATTATCAATAATTTTTAAATTTAGTCTACGTTCTTATTTTCTGTCGTGTATGGACATCCGTATTTACAAAAAAAAATGCCTGTTTTTAGACGCACTAAAAAAATTCAAAATACTTTTTAAAATACTGTGATATATGAATTTGGCATATGAATTGTTGTAAGGTTTTCTATTTATGATTATTAAATATCATTTTTATTTAATAACAAACTCACACAAACCACTACAAATTAATACAACATTTTAAAAGATTTAAAGCTTTACAAATTATTCTAATTAATTTTTTTTAAGAAAGAAAACAGTTGTAAAATTTATTATGCATAAAAAATGTCTTAAGACAATCGTGTGCATGTAGAGATCATGACGGATGAAAAAAGTAATCATTTAAATCCTCCGTACAATGTCCACCTTCTCTACTTCGAATCTATCTATCTCACTCTCAATTTTTCTCTCGCTCTTTGTCTGTCTTTCTATCTATCTGTCTATCTATCTTTATTCTGTTCACATCTATCCATCTCGCCCTCTATCTTTCACTCTCTTTCTTTCTCTCTCTCTCTCTCGCTAGTTCGCTCGATCTATCTATCTATCTATCTATCTATCTATCTATCTATCTATCTATCTACCAGTGTAACCCTTCTGTCGATTTTAATCTTCTTTCGTTTCAATTTCTTTATTTTCCAGTCAGACATCGACAGCTTTCGCAACTCGAAATGCCTCGCAGCAAATCATTGATTTCTTTTTTTTTTTTAATCTCAGACGCAAATTTGAGTTCAAGGCCTTGAAACGGAGATTCAAAACCTCTTTATTTACAATACTTTTTTTCCTACCACTGAACCATACACGCAAGTTTCTTTTTGATCTTTTCTAAAAAAAAAAAAAAAATGGCACTCATGTTTTAGCCTGAAGACAGCCTCCGAAATGTCTTTGTGGCGTATCTAACATTAGACCATGATTCAATTTTTCTTTTCATTCATTTTTGTTTCTTCAAAAAATTATCCTTAAGTTGTGTCTTCCTGTCGTCCACTTGAATTCTAGTGGACATCTTCCGGACCACTTGTTGGGCTTTGCACTGGTGGGGCATCTAGGTTGGGTTGAGTGATTCTTTAAAAAAAGAAAAAAGAAAAAAAAAAGGCATGTTGTCGTCATATTTGTCGCGTTCATTGAAGGGAAGAATTATGTAACATTTGTTGTAGAAACATAGAGACACAAACTGTTAAAGGAGGATAACTAGACACTTTTACTTGAAAATATAATTTTATATTAACAGTTGTAGAATTGGGTGAAAAACTGAAAAACGGTGAAGAAAAGCAGAAATTGCAATTTATGTTTGGTGAAGAGAAGGTGAAAATCATAGAATTGAAGAACATGAAAGGATTAATAAAGAAAAGGAATGAAATTATTTCGAGTTGTCTGCACGCTGAGGCATTCCTTTGAAAAACATTGAAAAAAGACCTGTACAACTGAAGAGCGTCCAACGATAGATAGATAGATAGATAGATAGATAGATAGATAGATAGATAGATATAAAGAAATGAGGATAGATATGAAGAGATGATGATTGATAGATATGAAGAGCTGAGAATAGATAGATAGATAGATAGATAGATAGATAGATAGATAGATAGATAGACATGAAGAGATGAGGATGGATAGATATATATGAACATGCAGATAGATAGATAGATAGATAGATAGATAGATAGATAGATAGATATGAAGAAATGGGGATAGAGAAGAGATGATGATAGATAGATAGATAGATAGATAGATAGATAGATAGATAGATAGATAGATAGATAAGTTATTTCACGCGTTAAGTGAATATAACGACCGGACTCTTATTCATAAGGCATCTTTCTGCAACCAGAATTGATTGATTGGAATTCATTTCGTCACTTTATTCGAAACGCCTCTTGGTTTTTATTTACTTTGTTTGTTTAACGGCACATCAACTACTCATGGGTCATTCAATGCCGAAATTTAATTTTCTTGGAAGCTTTGAAGTAATAAAAATGTTATTCTGCTTTCACAATGGAATACATGGTAGATGATACTCGGCTTTTATGCCTGTAGATATTCATATTGACAGAATTACTAGAGACCGTGATGTGTGTGTGTGTGGTTATGTTGTAGTTATATTTTGAAATACAATTCCAAGAGTGAAGAAATTGAAGGATATTCTATGGCTTAATGACATGAAAGAGTTTCTTTCATGTTGGCTGTTTAATTTATTTTGCTTAGCAGCATTATGGATTATTTAATGCCGAAATCTAAATATTTTCGAAGCATCTGTATGAAAAATGTATTGTTTCTATTTTTGATATAAAAATGTAATTTTATACGTGCATAGTGGTTTTTTGGGTGGGTAGAGGAATCACTATTTGCCGATACCTGAAATTCTAACAGGTGCTACCACCCCGGGTCAGGGTAGATCTGGGAACAACAGTATTTACGAGGTGGTTCCACGCTCCTCAAAAACTCCAATCTCCCGATCATAAGTCTTGCTACCGGATGTAGTTTATCGTCATACCCAGAACTAGAGACGCCTCTCGAATTGATATTCTTAACCATCCTATTAAGAATTTTGCCACCGAGGTTTCTTGTTAGGTTAACATAGCATTGATGTCTTTATATCTTCTCGCAAATACCAGATGAAATCACATTCTTTTCTTTGGTTTACACTAGTCTGTTCGGCCGCTATAACCCACAGGGATCATTTTTTCTCTCTGTGTCAGTGTAATAGTTTTGATAACAACAGATGCATATTAGTGTCTACTCGCAATAATTGGAAGCGTTTCCTCAAAGAGGCTAAGTTTTGTTTGCTGATAAAATGAGGCACCGTATAGTCTGTAAAAAGTTTTGTTAACGTCAATACCGTCGGTTGTGTAATCCTGTGTTAAATAAGAGTAAGTCATCTATTCTTCCTCTCTTCACTCTGTTTGAGGTGCTAACATCTTTTGCTGATTTTGTTCATAAATTATCTTCAAATTCTATTAACACATCTGGAGTATCTTTGCCTGACTTTTAACTAAGACTCTATTGTGTGATAAGCATATAACCCGATCCACCTCTAAGATTTCTCACAAAGCATGTGGACGTGATGGTATATCTGCAATAGTCCTTAAAATGTGCTCCTGAACCGGCTCCTGTTCTCTCAAACCACTACAATAAATGCCTTGCTGCTTCATGCTTGCGTGCTTGTTAGAAATACCCTTTGTATAATTCCAGTCTTTAAGAACTCAAGTGAAACGTCTGATCCTTCTATCAGTCTATTAACCTTCTACCGCTTTTTGGCAAAATGCTAGAGGCTCTAATTAACTCTGAATTTGTTGAGCATCTCACCTTGCATGGTCTTCTTTCAGATAAGCAATATGGATTTCGCTTCTCTAGGTCAACTGCTGATGTGTTAACGATTATTGCTGAAAGAATTTCTCAAGTTTTCGATAAGAATGGTGAAGCTTGGACTGTTGCTTTGGATATCTCGAAGATATTTGATAGGGTTTGGTACACTGGTCTTTTTCACGAGTTGAATTTCTGGACGAATTTTTGAACTTATCATATCGGAAAATGAAAGTTGTCTTGAATGGCCAACTCTTCTAGATCTTTTTTTTTTTACATTAATGCAAGGCTCCCCAGAACTCTATCACTGAACTTAGATTGTTCCTAATTTTCATCAGTTCTCAACTTGTTATCTGCGCTAAGGACACAACTATTTACTCGTGTCTTAATAGTAAGTTTAATCGTTTCGATAAGATCAAATTGGCAGTTGACATGAAAATGACATACAATCTGTTGTTAACTGGGGCAAGGAATGGCGTGTTAATTTTAACGTTTCCTATACAAAACTGTTCTCGTTTAATAGTCTGAGAGAAGCTTTTCTACCTTCCATCGACATGCCTGATGCTAACCTCCAGGAGAATGACTCATGGCGCCTTTTTTCAGCTGACATGAAATGGAAAGAGTATAGATTGAATCAATTGCTAAGTCTCTATCTAAGAAAGTTGGTTTACTATGTCGTACCAGAGAATTTTCTCTCGACAAAATCTATCTTACATATTTAAAAAAACTACCATTCGTCCTTGCACTGAATATTGCTGCCACATATGGTCTGGTGTTCCGAGTATATATTTAAAGATACTTGATAAAATCCAAAAATGAATCTACAGTATTATTAGTCCTGACCTGGCATCTCGGCTTCAATTACTTTTCCCACCACCGTGACTGTGTTTTCCCATAAATACTTTCTTGATATTTGTTCTAAACAAATTTCCTTTATGTCTCACCTAAATTTATGAATTCAAGCAAAGTATTATATTGTGGTCGAGGTCTCATCTTTTCAAAGTTGTAATGTCTTGATAGAAAAATTCTATGCTAACAGTTTCTTTTCTCATACTTCTCGCTTGTGGAACTCACTTACGACCTCTTGATCATCAAAAATTTAAATGCAATGTCAATTGTTATCCTCTGTTTGTTTTTTGTTTTTAATTCTTGTTAATAGTGATTTTTCCTCATTCATATTCCCTCACAGTCAATAACTCCTTGCTTCTTAGTGACTTTATTGCCTTGCTTCAGGTTAAACGATTAATATATATATATATATATGTGTGTGTGCGTGTGTGTGTGTGTGTGTGTGCGTGTGTGTGCGTGTGTGTGTGTCTGTGTGTATTTAAAACCTCTAACCTTATAGTTAAAAATAATAATTCACCTCCTAGAACAAAATTAAATCGGGCAAATATTATTTACGAATTTAAATGCCCATTAAGTTATTGTATTCCTGATCAATCAAAATTCATAAATAAGCATATAGGCCATACTACAACATGTTTGACACGAAGACTCACTCAACACCTTTCTGACCATAGTTCTCATTTACATATTCATGGAGATTTACCGGACACTATTCGTAACATACTTGTTGACAACACTAATATAGTAGCATAATCTACATGCAAATAAAGGGTAAAAATAATGGAAGACTTATTAATAAAAACAAACAAACACTTAATAATATTAACTATGAACATGGACACAATATCTTGACCGTGTTTTGAAAAATGAAAACATTTTATAAAACATACAAACACCAAACTATTTCTTATTTTAATAGTTAAAATATAATCCTTGAAAATGGTTAAATGTATAGCCGAAAGCGCTCGGATAAAAAGAACATTCGGACAGTTTTTATATAATTTATCCGAAAAGAAAAAAAGTTATTAGATTGAATGAGAAATTGTATAAAAAACTAAATAAAAGCACCATGTCTGTCGTTTTCAATGAAATGTGCATGAAAGAAGGATTGCTGCCTAAATACACAAATGTATATATATATATATATATATATGTATATATACATATATAATATATGTAAATGTGTGTGTGTATATATATATATATATATATATATATGTGTGTGTGTGTGTGTGTGTGTGTGTGTGTGTGTGTGTGTGTGTGTATATATATATATATATATATATCGATTCTCCCGTCGGGTTCGACGTATGAGGGTCAAGCAGATCAGTTTCCATGAAAACTGACAGCCCGACAACAGCACATGAGATTTGATTATATTGGTGAAGGTTTCGTGCAGGACCATCCACACTTTTTGAAGGGACGAATACTGAGACCTGGTGCACTACGTGCCACAAGGTCCCCAAACAACCCCCCTCAGGTTTTGAATTCAGAGTTGTCCTTCTCCTTGGCTAGGGAGGCACGGTGGGGTAATGGATATCGGCTCGGATTGTGGAGTCGCAGAGCCTAGTTCGAATCCGGGTTGAATCCATTACATTCACTTACGTGCTAATACCCTTGGGAAAGGTGTGAATCCTCTTCTCCCTCCAGCTATGGGTTAAATAGCAGGACAGACTGGGTTCTATAGACTTAGATGGCAACTGGTCTAGGAGATATATATATATATATATATATATAAAACCTATCTACGCAAACTAATATATGTGTATGTGCTTTCGTGTATTTGCTTTAGAGAGAGTATGTTGGATTCGTTATTAATGTTACTTTTATAACAGTCAGGAATGCAAATGACTGACGAGAGAGTGAATGTGTTTCTCTGTTTCCTTCTTGTGTACCTTTTAGTCACGTGTGTTCGTTGTGTTCTTGCACACCTGACGATTTCCTCTGATTATTATCACACGACAAAAGGTATAAATGTCCGGACCGCTATAAAGTTTGAAAAAAAAAGAATAAATTTCAATTGCGATCCATTTTTAAAAGTTTTATATTTAGATAGAAATCTCACGACTGCCACCGATTTCTTTGGTTGGCGTATTTCGCCCTCTCTGCTTCGTGACAAGCGAGTTTTAGAAGAAAAGAAAATAAACACTGGTGATTTATGTAGACTTACCGAAATCGTGACATATATTCTCATGACGAGATAGATAGATAGATAGATAGAGAGATAGATAGATAGATAGATAGATAGATAGATAGATACTGAAATAGATAAAGAAAGGGAGAGAGATACCGAAGAATAGACTGAGGTAGATAGATATATAGAGAGATAGATAGAGATATAGATAGATGGAGAGAGAGATATGGACAGACTGAAATAGATAGATAGATAGATAGATAGATAGATAGATAGATAGATAGATAGATAGATAGATAGATAGGAATAGACTGAAATAAATAAAGAGAGGAGGAGAGATACCGAAGAACAGACTGAGGTAGATAGATACATAGATAGAGAGATGGAGAGATAGATATGGACAGACTGAAATAGATAGATAGATAGATAGATAGATAGATAGATAGATAGATAGATAGATAACGAACAGTTTGACATATGAATAGAGTGAGACTGTGGTAGTCAGAGAATGTCAATTCTGAATTCAACAGATTCTTGAAGACATTGTTAAAACTCTCTCTTTTCACAAGAATCACGTCAATTAGCAGCCATTAATGAAAAGAGGCTGTAAAGCACCATGATTACCAACGTCCCGAAAAGAAATAAAATTAAAAAGTAAGTTGAAACGTGAATGACTCATGATAGCATACCGCGGTTAACATCGATATATTTTTCTCAACCGCAATAATTATTAATGGAGAATCTAGAGTAAAAATATTCAGTTTCTGTTGTGAGGTATAAACTGTAAACGCCAAAAGGATACCGAGCAGAGCTCATTCGGAAATAAAACTAAGACTAAAACGAAATATAAGCTTGACATTTTATAAAAGCAACGAGGAGGAGGAGGTACTGTCGGAAGAATAGATCAGCGATCACCATACTTCAGTTAAGCGACTGGCAACATTCAACATGGCCGTATCTGCTAGTAAATTACAAATCAAGTTCAAATTAGCCTATCATCTATACGATCAAGGTTACCTAACCTGGGCGATTTTCAGCTGTTGGGTGGGCGATGAGAAAACAAAGCGATTGTTTCCCTTTTGTTTTGTTTTATTTTTTTATATATATATATATATATATATATATATATATATATATATATATATAAACATGCGCATAAAAATGTAAATCTTTAATAATGTAAATCCATATATAATAAATATAGCTATAAATGTCCATATATACACAATTGTGTGTATATTCACGATAATATATATATATGCAATGCAATATATATATATATATATATATATATATATATATATATATATATATATATAATTATAAATTAATTAATTTAAAATATGTTTTTTCCGCTACACAGTTCTAACCATGTTTCAAAAATGGAAGCTAAAAGCCACGAATTTAATTTTGCAATTAAATTAAAGACATTAGTTCCATTTTCATCCTCAAGTTACTCCAAAATTGCTTGAGGATGAAATGGAACTAATGTCTTTAATTTAATCACAAAATTAAATTCGTGGCTTTTAGCTTCCATTTTTGAAACATGGTTAGAACTGTGTAGCTGAAAAAAACATATTTTAAATCAATTAATTTATAATATTAATGCTCTGTAAATTTACATTGAGGACTATTTTGTAAAAATAAAAATATCTATAAGAACACCGGATTATATATCTTAGTGTTCTTTCTTTTTATTTAAATACACACACACACACACACACACATATATATATATATATATATATATATATATATATATATATATATATATATATATTATCAGTGGTCAATATATATATATATATATTTATAAGAGGGCAAAATACAGCTAGAGCTATGTGTACAAGACAGAGCAAGAATATATTATAAAAGCTCAAATACTAATATTCTATGTATATATATATATGTATATATATATATATATATATATATATATATATATAGAGAGAGAGAGAGAGAGATAGCTATGTGTAATTATATATATATATATATATATATATATATATTTACATGCATTTATCACTTGCAACTACATATATATGCAGTATGAACAGTTATAGACGTAATTGTTATATATATATATATAGATAGATAGATAGAGAGACAGATTTTATATATATTCACGTATAATTATATATATATACAAATATATATATGCATATATATATTTATATGTATAAATATGTATATGCATATATGTGCATATATATATATAAATATATTTTATATATACATACATATATATATGCATATATATATATATATATATATATATATATATATATATATATATATATATATATATATATGTGTGTGTGTGTGTGCCCTTTTATTTATACTTATTTATATAATGTTTATAATCGCTTGATATCTTTCCCATTGTGCACTCGTGCGTACATCTGTATGTCTGCCGTACCTCGGTAGATGTATTTGTAGATCCCACCCCAACCCTCTTCCCCGTCTTACCTTTTGGATTTTTGTTATTGAGAGCCAATTAAAATTGCAAACCAGATTAACAAAACAAAGCACACACACAGACACAGACACACACTCACATACGCGCGCACATACCTTAAAGAATAATACAAACAACAACACATCAACGGAGCCAGTCTTCTAATTTTTTTTTTCTTTTTCGAAGCAGGCAAATTGCCTTTGATCTGTCCAGATATGTTGGTAATAAGCGATCTGAAAAACAGGGAAAGAGGGAAGGTGTGTCGAATGGCGAAGAATGAAAGGGGGAAAATAAGAAAAAAAAAGTAAGTTAGTTGGCCGTCTTCCGAAAAACACGGCCAATAGAGAATTAATTTTAAAATGATTAAAAGATGCCGGCGCTGACAACTGCTTCCTCTTGTGGTTGTCTTCCGCCGTCTACAGGGATGGCGAGGAAAGGGCAACGAGGCATGGATTTTTCACTCTCTCTCTCTCTCTCTCTCTCTCTCTCTCTCTCTCTCTCTCTCTTTCTTACTTCTCGCTCTCTTGCATACTCACTTCTCCTTGTGTGTGTTTGTGTGTGTGTGCAATTCTATCTAATATATTCTGTCTTAACTTAGTTAACTGGCAATGATAGTTTATTGATTAAAGCCCTATTGATCTACGAGCATCGATTCCTTAAAATAAGCTTTAGTTTAAAGAAGCATAAGTCAAAACAAATTTATCCATAGCTAAGTCCCAGTGACAGTCATCTTCGCAATTTTACTGGGGCGATTCGATGAGTCACGTTTATGAGCCACAAATGCTTTCTTCAATCTCCCACTAGTGCAATCCTCCGTGAATCTGAAGTGGATTGAAATCAAAAGTTGACATTTCATTAACAGGAAAATGGCCGAAAAGATAGTTATCAACAAAAGTCAACACCTATTCACCCAAATGTTATATCACCAAAGGATCAGAGTTCATTTGTTAGAAAGTTTATTAGAGACCTACCACGATATATCATTGGCGGACACGCTCTTAACAGCATATAATATGCAAATGACACAGTATTGATGTCTGACCGATAAAGGGGACTGTAGGAAATCCTAGAAAAATTAATAAAGGAAAGAGTGAATAAAGGAATAAACATCAATTGTAAGAATGTCGTCTCCTGTTGGCATTCCTACATTTTTTAAAACAACCGAACAAAAAAGAAACTTCATTTTCCAGGACCAGCGATTGTTGTAAAATTGATTCAGCATTAAGATTAAGGAATTTAGCATTCAGCTTAAAAGACCTCATTACGAAGACTTAGCCGTGTGTTTGGCGTCTCTAGCTTTTTAAAAATAAAGACACTTCTGTTACATTGGATCGCACCTGGCTGCATTTCAGGGCGCATTTGTGCGCCCGGGCGCCACCAGTTGAGAAACCCTGAATCCTACTATATGCTTTAAAATCGTGTAAATTCTTCTCTATTTTCAAGATATTTTTATTTATTGTTTTATAATCATTTCAGGAAAGGCGATAAAACCACTTTAACGCAAGACACTGAGTACAAAAGGATATGAGAAAAAGAAAATCTTTTTTAGTTTTATAATACAAATATAAGTATGATCAACAATAAGCCTCTCTAATCTTAATCTTGTTCCATTGACAGTATATTCTACCATAATCTTCATAAATGATTTAGCCCTGCACTACAGTTAGTACTTGCATCAATATCCTGCTAAAACCCATGTCGACAGTACCTTCAAAACCCCGACTGCGTCCTCAGCAGTGCGCGTTAAAACCTTACGTGGCCACTTATTATTTAAATACATATAGATTCAAATTTTTGGTTCATAAGTTATTTTTATAGATACAAATATTTAAGTAAATGCTCTGTTTATAATAAACAGTATTAATAATATTTACCAGTCTGAATATCCAAGAAATCTCAAAGAAAATCGAACCTGTATCCTAAACATATAACTGTCATATAGCCTGATGTGCTATACTATTTAGCTACAGAGGAAGCGTTTGGTTAGCAAGGCTAAATTACTGTTTTCAAAGAACAAATTTCCCATGATTTCTTTCGAATGCTCATATCTTCTCGAAGCGTATCTTAACGTAAACAAATGACATAATATTCTTGGACATTCAGCCCGGTAAATGTTGTTAATGCTGTTTATTATAAACAGAGCATTTACTTAAATATTTGTATCTATAAAAATAATGTATGAACAAAAAGTATATTAAAATAATTGTCGGACTTAGTCCATTTCATAATATATGTAGACTCAAATATAAACGATTATATTTACCGTTCAGCGAACCAAGTAATGCTTTAAGACTCAGATATTATGAACCAATATTTAGTTTTGCGCGTACCAATCAAAGATCTATCAACGCATATATAAACGACTAATATTTATGTATTCCAGAACCACGTAAATATTAACAGACTTAGATATTAGGTTGTGACACATGAAATGACATATTTAATAGGAAATGAATAAAACGTTTCTGAAATTTTAAACAACTTATGTATTTATTTGAAATAGGCACCATGTTGATGAATGATTTTTCTCCAATGTATTTCTAAATTCTTGATTCCATCTGTAAAAAAATTCTCACCCTTTGATGTGATAAACAATTCAAATGCTTCAATTACCTCGTCTTTATTGGACAATGTTTTATTGCGTATGAAAAGTTCAAAATGCTTAAATAAGTGATAATCAGTAGGAGAGATAAGAGGTGAATATGGAGGATGAGGCAAAATGTCATAATTCAAGCTATGCTGCTTTTGGAGAGTTAATTGAGAAGCAAAATTGGCCCATCCCTATTCACAAGTCTGGCATGATTCTTTTTCAATTTGTCGTGCAAACACTAAATTTCTCCACAATATGAGGTTCCTGATATTGTTTTCCATTGAAACAAGAATTAATAACTCCTTTCAAAGAACACCGTATAGTAACCATTAACTTTTGAGGTTGCAATGGAGGTTTGGGATATTGTTTTGATGATTCACTTGCATCTAATCACTGGCCAACTCTCTTAATATTGTCAAAGAGTATCCATTTCTCGTTGCCTGTAATGATTCGATACAAAAATGATTCTTTTTTTTCCAGTCGGGAAAGCAACAAAAAGAACACCTCAAATCGACGGTTGCTTTGAATCTCATTCAGTTCATGCGGAACAAACGGATCCAAATTCTTTACTTTTCCAATTGCTTTCAAGTATCGAGAAACAGTTGTGCGAGATGTTTCGAGTTCTGATGCAAGTTCTCGGATTTTGATCAACCAAAGCAATCAATTGATCAACGAAAGCAATCAATTGATCATGTCTGATAACTGATCGTGGTCTTTCCATTCGTTTATTTTCAAGACTATAATCAGCTAAACAAAACAAGTGAAACGATCTCTGTACAGCTCAGATTTCAACAAAGCCATTACCAAAGGCCGCCTTGATATTCCGAAATGCTTCAGAGGCAGAATGACCCAGTTTCTACTCATACATTA